ACACACACACACAAATTAAAATAAATATTTTTTAATTACTTTCAATAAAGCTATAATTTACTATGGCCTGCATAATCACCTTGGATTAAAGGTAACCACTCAGTAGACAGCACTGAAAACTGAGAAGCTCACGAATTCAAACCTTCATGGGAGAGGTGAAAACCAGCCCCATGAAGACCAAGGCAGTGTGGGCCAGGATGGCAACATTCCCTACAGACAGCTGGCTTTAGGCTCTCCTTATTAGGCAGTTAGGGTTAAAACTGATAAACCTTTTAGGTCTGACTAATTAGCTCCATCTAAACTTTCAGATCAACACTTTATTACATACTCTTTATGGAATCTCCCATATACGTGAATGTGCTCTGCTATGGAGGCAATTCCCGCTTTCACAGAAGGCAGTCAGTGATCATTTTGAGGAGAATGTACAGTTTAAACACTCAGCCTGGTGGCCTCTTGCAAGATAACCCACCATCCCCATTAGAAGCTCAGTTTCTCCTAAGCACAGACAAACAGTCTAGATGATCCAGAAAGCAGAGGTGAAGCTCCATACAGACCTGCTTACTGAGACACCAGGTACTTGTCATGTTCTGGTCTAGCACGATAATCCCCAAGCTCTAATATTACCTAGGGAATTCTCTGAAAGGAAGATTCCTGAACTCCCATCTCCACTGTCAAAGGCACAGACCAGGAACACATAGCTACAGCAGGAACTCCAGAACTCGAGCTCTGCAAGCCCTGGATGCAGGACCTTCCACACTGTGCCTCACCATTTGCAATCCCTCAAATAGAAAAGACGGTGGAAGCCTGTCCTTGGGATTTCCTTCCAGAATGCTCATTTCCCCTTTGCTGTAGGAGCTGCTAAACACCAGGAAAGTTGACAACAGCTGAAGAGAAGCACGGACATGTCTATGTTTCATAACAGACAAAATGGGGTACTTTAAATTTTCAACTACAGCATCCCCTGAAGCCAGGGACTGTTCTCAAAGAAATCTGCAAAGTGAGGGTCATATAAGAAATGTGTCATTTTTTATTAGGATAATGTGATTTTTTTAATAAAAAGGTGTTTTCTGTTATTGTTTTAGGTCAAAGGAAAAATGAGAAGTTTAATTTTCCCACTCTGACTCCCGAACACAATGTTTCTGTTTTTGTTTCTTGTTTTGAGACAGGGTCTCCCTGTAGCCCCAGCTGGCCTTGAACTCATTATGTAGACCAGGCTGGCCTGGATCTCACAGAGATCTGCTTGCCTCTGCCTCCCCAGTGCTGGGATTAAAGGTGTGTACCACCATGCCCAGCTAAGAACTTCTCTTAATAGCAATCAACATTAGTGCATATTTGTTCTAAGTGAGGAACCACTACCTGTATACTACAGCTGAAGTCCATATTTGACGACAGGGTTCACACTTGTGATGTATTTTCTATGCTTATCAACAAATGTACAGTGACAGTAGCATGTGGTCATCCATATCATATTGCATGCATATTATTATATGAAACCCTCAAACTCCTTTGACCTTCAAGCCATCTCCTTCCTCCCAAGTTCCTGACAGCCTTGATCTTTATACTGTCTCCATAGTTTTAGAGTTGCCAGAATGTCATATCATAAGCATAAAGTTAGAGTGTATAATATGCAGTCTTTTCAGATTGCCTTATTTTACTAAATATTGTGCATTTAGGCTTCCTTGATATCTTCTTTAAAAATGCAATTCATTTTAGTAACTGAGCACAGCCTAGTATGGCAAAGGCCCTGTTTGATCCCAACACATAATATAACTCATTTCTAAAGCACTGATAATAATACATTACATGGATATAAAATGTTTTATCAATCCGTTCACCCATTAAAGATTATCTTGGCTGATTTAAAGCCTGGGTCATCATGAGTAGAGTTGGTACAAGCAAATGTGTCTGGTTTTCATGTGCACGTTAATTTTCAGTTAAGGGACATTATCAAGGAACTTACTTTGTGGATCATCTGGTCTGTCCTATCTTGTGATGAGCTGCCACTTTCTTAGGAAGCAGCTGTACTATTTTGTTTCCAACAACATAAAAATTGAGAAATAAGTGCTTTGTGTACTTACTGGTATTTGGTGTATCAATATTTTAGATTATGGCTATTCTAATAGATGTAGAGAGATAAGCAGTAGTTTAAGTTTGTCATTCCCAGGGATCCTTCTGTATGCTTATTTACCATCAGATTACATCCATTGCTGAAATCTGTTCAGATCCTTTGTCCATATTTGACTGGGTGTTTTCTCACTGTTGATTCTTGGATTATTTTGGTGCCATTCCTTCATTGGCTATGTGTTTTACAATCTTTTTTCCAAGACCTTTGCTTGCCTCTATTTTCTTAATTCTTTTTCTTCCAACTCAAAAATTCATTTAATGAGAGATTCCATTTCTCCACATTCAGCACATCAGTACACAAATTTCAAATATATAAGCATATTATGCAGCTATACATAACTATATAGCTGTACTAGAATATTTTATTTCAAAGTAGTCATTTCTCATACTGATTATTCAATTGCAGCCATCTTGAATTGTCTTTATAGACCATGTAAATCTTCCCGGGGTAGTTCAGTCCGTAAAATGCTTGCCATGCAACTAAGAAGCTCTGAGTTTGATCCCTAGAACTCACATAAAAACCTGGGTGTGGTTGTGCATGCCTGCAATCTCAGGTCTGTAGAGGAAGAGACAGGAGGTCACTGGCAACAGCTGACCAATGAGTCTAGCAGAAGTGGCGAGCTCTTGGTTCAATAAGGCTCACCATGACTGAGGAAAACACCTGACATAGACTGTTGGCCTCCAACTCACAGGCAGGCATAGCATATTACTCAAATAAATCCACTTTCGAAACCTTTAGCTCACATTTCTTTTAGGAAATTCTTTGGATTCTTTCACTCCACCAAGAAAAAATAATCACAAATGTCTTCAGAGAATATTATTTTTCAATAGATTACAGTAATTTGTTCAATGTCTTTTTTATTATTTTCATCTTATGTATATGAGTATATTGCCTGCCTGCACATAAGTGTACCTGTGTCACGCAATGCTTGAGGAGGTCAGAAGAGGGCATCAGATCCCTTGGAACTGGAGTTATGGACAGTTGTTAACTGCCATGTGGGTGGGTGCTGAGAATAAAACCCAGGTCCTCTGCAAGAGCAGCTAGCGCTCTGAAACACTGAGCCATCTCTCCAGTCTCTCAACGTGTTTTTTACAATGTGGAATTCAAGACTTTTACTGCATTTGATTTGTGCAGAATTAATTGGTTTACTATTGAGCTTGGAGTATTTTACTTTTGTAAAATAATACCCCACCCTAACAGTAAATCCCTCCCCCCACACACAAAGCAGTAATTTTCCGAGATAAATGCTCAGGTTAAAAATGTAATATTCTGATAGCTTAAGAGTGTTTAAAGATCAATCACACTCACTGTTTTATAACAATGACTATATAAACTAAAAATGTCTAGACATTTTACTTATAAAAACTGTCAAGGAAACTTATTCTCCTTCAGGCATTGTAATATATATATATATATATATATATGTAATTTTACTTAAAATTTAATTAAACTTCAGGGGGACAGGCGGAGCAGAAACCGTAACTGAAATGTGGCATATTTATTTCTAATATTCTTTGTGAGTGACACAATTATACTGGGGAAATAATACTCACTTCTTATGGCCTTCCTCCCTAGGCCCGAGAATGTTCTGTCCACAGTCTGTGTGACAGTCTATCCACAGTCTGATGACAGTCTATCCACAGTCTGTGTGACAGTCTATCCAGTCTGTGTGATGACAGTCTATCCACAGTCTGTGTGACAGTCTATCCAGTCTGTGTGACAGTCTATCCAGTCTGTGTGACGACAGTCTAGCCACAGTCTGTGTGACAGTCTATCCAGTCTGTGTGACAGTCTATCCAGTCTGTGTGATGACAGTCTAGCCACAGTCTGTGTGACAGTCTATCCAGTCTGTGTGACAGTCTATCCAGTCTGTGTGACAGTCTGCCATGCCACTCTTACTGTTCTTTGCACCATCTGATGTTTTCCACTTTGGTCACTTTGCACTGTTTACCTCACCTCACAAGAACAGACAGTACTCAAACACGGAGGCCCCAGTGACCCCTAGGAATGCCTTGGCATCTCAACCTAGTTGCAGAGATGAAATGAATTCCATATTGACAACTTACAAAACTCTCCAGACAGATCTCCCTCCTGAACTCCCGACCCATATGTATAATGCATGCAGACACTATACGTTCCCACTACGTATGCATACATGTTTATTCTACATGTCCAAAACCAAATCCAAGCCTCTCCATCGCACCTCACAAGGAGCTCGCGCATCCTTGGCTGTCTCAACTCATCGGCTGCCATTGCAACCTCAGGCTGACATCTTTGATTTCTTTCTCTCACACTCCATACCCACGCATCAAGCACATGTTGGCTTTGCCTTTGGAACTGTGCCGAACGGGAGTAATTCCCCACCATCCCGTTATCGTCCACCCTTCCTTCCATCAAGTTTCTATTTATGGTCTATGGTAGCCTGCAACAAGTCTCTCTGCTTGCCCCCAGACCCCACCGTCCACTCTGAGTCCATCCTCACATTTCAGTGTGTCCTCTTCAAAGGCAAATCTCGTGACAACCCTTGAATGACTGTTTCTCTCAAAAGGAAAAAGCAAACATTTTGCTTTCTAAGGCTGGTTTCTCTGACCCGTTTTCCTTCAGTACCACCTCACTCATCGTCTGTATTTTCTAAAGGTTCCTCTACAGGAATGTATTGTGAAAGAGTAAACTTTCCTTAGTGAAGTTTTAAGGGAAGAACTAGGTTCGCTCACAAACTTCTAAGCTCCCGGGGTGTTGAGTGCCTAAGCTTCACAGTTAAGATATTAGCGGAGAGCAGCTTGTCAAATGCCCCTGCACGCTAGGACTTCGGAATGGCATCGCCCATCTCCCTGACAGTTGACTCAGTCAGCACTCTCCCGCAGGCTGTTGTGTCCACACTCATCTGCAGAGCTCCTTATACACCTGACTCTCCAAGAGTCACAGCTCCAGGAAGCACACACAAGGCCGACTCTCCCCACGGGTACTGGGTACTCATCCACACATACAAAAACCCCAGAGGCCAGGGAAGCGAGTGGGGTGCTGGGTACTCAGTGCTGTACCCTCCAGAACCACAGCTGGGCCGGCGGGTGCAGCCCTGAGGCGGGAGAGATGGCAGAGGCCCAGGACCGAGCACGGGAGGACCAGCACCTCGGCATCCGGGCGGCCTCGTCTCCCGGCCGGGTCGCGGCCTCGCGTGTGCCCCGGGATGCAGCACTGGGAGCCTGGACCCCGCGCCCAGGTACCCGGGGGCGGAGCTCACTGCCCCTGGCCCGCGTTGCCACGGAGATGCGCGCACGCCGTCCTTAGGTCGCGGTGACGGAGGACGCACGCGGGGGCGGGGCGGAGCACAGTGCGCATGCGCGCTCGGCTCCCGGAAGTCGGGCCATGGCAGCCCTGAGGGAAGCTATGCTGGGCCGGCTGCGGAAGTTCTCCCAGCTGAGAGGTACGGCGGAACCGAGGTCTGGGGTCCTCTGGGGGCGGGGGAGGGCCTTTCCGACGGACTTCCGGCTTCACTTCCGGGTTGCGCCCACCCAGTCCTGGGTTCTCTCTGTGCTCTGCCTAAGGCATGCCCAGCTGAGAGGTACGGCGGAACCGAGGTCTGGGGTCCTCTGGGGGCGGGGGGGGAAACCTTTCCGACGGACTTCCGGCTTCACTTCCGGGTTGTGCCCACCCAGTCCTGGGTTCTCTCTGTGCTCTGCCTAAGGCATGTACATGTAGGGAGAGCCACCGACACCACTGCTGATACGTCACGTCCAGGCTGTGCAGAGTCAGTACTGCAGTGTGCGTGCTAAGTCTGTCTGCAAGGCTGGACGTGGTGCTGCTCCCCTGCCTCGGTCTCTGCAGACCCGTCCAGTGTATTCCATGATGTGGCTCCACTAGGAGGCAAGGAAACGGGTGATGGGTGTGATTGCCCAAAATCCAGGGACTCGTATTCGGATAGCACTCTTTGGAACTGATAAGTGCTAGGTGCCGAGTCTCCTTTGTAACTAGTCACCCTCTGACTCTCTGTACTGATAAAGAGATTCCCACTCTTTGCCAGAACTGCAGTTGGTTATTTATTGCGTTGACTGGGGAGTCGTTCTTTCGTAGTCTAATGACTTATGTGTTTGCATTGGTCATCTTGTGTTACTAGAAATGTCATTAAGAACTGGCATGGTGGTGACTTGGGAGGCAGAGGCATTGGATCTCCCGAGATCAAAGCCTGCCTGGTCTAAGCACGGAAGCCCTGTGTCAGTACACACAGGCCCACACACGTGCTCACATGCACACAAGCGCACAGGCACTCGGGCTGGCTCTGGAGGCTCAAGCCTGTACTCAGCTACGTGGGAGGCTAGGGAGGTTCAAGTTCAAGACCTGCCTGAATTACAGCGTGAATTCAGGGCCAGCCTGGGCAAAAACAGGCGGAGGCCAGGTCACGAAATAGAGCACTGTCGTGAATTGCCACGCCTCTGTTCAGTGCTCAGTGCCACCAAAATAATAACAGTAATTTAAAGTGTCCATATTTATAAACAGAAAAAGTGAAGGCCTGGACCTTTGGGATGGAACTTTCTCAGTCAGGGAATGCGGAGAAATCTGATGAGTGGAAATTGGTTTTGAAAGTTAGAGGTGGTTTCTTTGTATTCTCTTAGGAAGCTGATGATAATACTTACCTTTTTTCCAACCCTTCTTTTAAAACAAGCCAGCCTGTAATAGATAGAAAATCCTGGTATTTTATTAATTCTTTTCTTACTTGTTTTCAAATAGGCAAACCTGTGGCAGCTGGAGAATTCTGGGATGTGGTTGCAATTACAGCAGCCGATGAGAAGCAGGAACTCGCTTATAAGCAGCAACTGTCAGCAAAGCTGAACCGGAAAGAATTACCCCTTGGAGTTCAGTATCACGTCTTTGTTGACCCTCCTGGAACCAAAATTGGTACAGATTTTATGGGTGTCTTTATAACATAGGTTTGGATGTTATGATTGAAAGATAGCTTTTCCTGTGCTTTACAGTTCAGAACAATCCCTATCTGTGGCCTTTACAAACTTAAAAATATGAATGTAAGTTGACTTTTTTATAACGAAGGCTAACGGAGACCAGCTGTACTTAGCCATTCTCACTTGCAGGGAAAGACTTCCAGAACAGCATTTAAAATAATTTTATTTGTTTTAATAAAACTTACTCTGAATATTCTCTTAGACCTCATTAATAGGTCTCAAGGTTTTTCTCAACCCAACAGATTCTTCACACATGAAGAGAGCAATTCTGGAGCATACGAGTACACTTGGCCGCTTGGGACCACAACACAGAATACAAAATAAGAGGGTCCAGTGGCTTAAAAGTACCATATGACATTTATTTGAAAACCCAGTGTAGTACAAACTTGTTGTTTGATATTTCTTTCCAAATAAAAATGAATGCCACTCTACCTTTGAATCTGTAAGAACATTTTTCTCCCTTATAAATGGTTTCCTCTACTTTTTAAAAATTATTCACTGAAAGTATTTTGCTTTCAAAGCAAATACTCATCTTTATTTATTCTGTACTGTTAGTTTGCACATAGTAGCATTTTTAAAGAAATCATCCTTCTTCCCCCTCATTCTAGAGACATGATGTATGTTCATGGTATTCGCCTGATCTAATTTACTCTTCAGAGAAAGAAGGGCAGTTCTTTTATCATTCCCATTATATAAAGGAGAATCTGAGTTACAGAGAATGTTATGTGGAAGTTAAACGAGGTTCTTAAAAATTTGAAAAAGAAAATCTAATGCATGTGTTAGATGAAGTTCTGTGAGTCATTAGATGGTTTTTATGATTTATATTTTTTAATTATTTTTATTTTATGTCTATTGAGTGGTTTGCCTACATGTATGTAAGTGCACAATATGTGTGCAATGCCTTTCAGAGGCCAGAAGAGGGCATCGGAGCCCCTGGAACTAGAGTTCCAGACCGCTGTTAGCCACCATGTGGGTGCTGGGAATTGAGTCCAGGTCCTCTAGAAGAGTAGCCAGTGTTCTTAAGAGCTGAGCCCCTCTCCAGCCCAGGTTCTACTATTTGTAATGGAATGAATGGTCACACTTAGTCTTTTGCCACAGACTGTGATTTACCTTTCATTATTGGTTCTGGGGAACGTTACCTGCTCACTGTGTTCCACCAGTGTTCAGAAACACTAATGTGCTTGATTATTTACTGACATTGATCGGCTCTAGTGTTTTTCCAGCACCTTTCAACCTACCTACTTAGTTAATTATAGACAAAACGCAGGTATTTGAAATTATAACACTTAAATTTTCCCTCATTACAAGATTTGGATAGGCTTCTGTGAATTAAATTCTGCTTTTTAATTGTTTTTAAGGAAATGGAGGGTCAACGCTCTGCTTCCTGCAGTGTTTGGAAAGTCTCTATGGAGATACATGGAGTTCATTCACTGTCCTGTTAATTCACTCTGGTAATGGCATTCATGGTCAATTTACATTTTCTCTTGAATAGTCTACTTTTGGCAAGTTGGGAACTTTTCCTCCTTTGCAAACAATTTCCTCCGTATTTTAAAACCATTTCACTGGATTTTGATTTGTTGATCTTTTCCTGTTTCGTTTTTCTTTCTTTTTCTATTTTCAGAGTATGAATAGTATGATTTTTCACAAAATTTATTCTACAAATTGTAAATTATGCACATCATCTCTTTTGGGGTATTTTATCTTTGTTTTGCATGTAGGAAATTATTTTTTCACAAAACCAACCTCTTGAACATATGGACATTTCCCAGGAGTCTCAGAGAGTGGATTCTTGCTGTGAAACAGACCGGATCAGCACTATTATTATTAAAATGGTCAGAACTCCCTTTCATGTTGTCTGGGGATCTGTAGCCAAAAGCTACCATCTCTGCCACAATTTTGTAAACAAAATAGGACAAGACTTGGGTTAACAAATATATAAGTGAAAAGCTCACATAGAACGTTTTCAAACAGAAAAGTATGAAGGAAATTATCTCAGAATAAAGTGCAGATTTTTCAGTCCAGTACACTCAACTGTATGAACATTTGGTCTAGGTGAAGATCTGCTCTTTGCACTATATGCCAATGATCTGATGAAGACTTTGTTGTGGCCTGGAATTGGCCAGGGGACATTACTTTATAGCACTCACCCTGTTGGTTTCCAAGAGTCTTTCCAAGTCTTCAGATTCATATATAGTACTCTGAGTCTTGATAAAGATCACGTCAGTGTAGTACATCCAAATCCTGCTTTCAAGACTAATTTATAATGTAGAACAATTTCTGTTATACCTTTTTTATACAGAAAGCTCTCCCTGCCAATTTAATACAATTAACTGAACACTAGAAAACATGTAGCTAAATATGCAATGGGCCCCTTTGAGTCCTGGCTTCCTGTAGACTCAACCAGCCATGGACAGAAAATATTTGGAAAAAAAAAAACAATGTGTCTCTATGAACATGTAGACTGTTCGTTTTCCTAAACATCACAGCATAACCACTGTTGACCTAGCGGTGTGTTGCATGAGATAGTACAAATATGTATCCAGTGGGACAGTGTGGATTACATGCAAACAGTGTACCGTTTTCGGTTAGGCAACTTAAGCAGCCTCAGAATTTGGTATCTGCCTAGGGTCATGAACTGATCTCTGCAAATATGAGGATTGGCTATAGACAGTTCTTTTATAAATTATTTATTACTTTTTATTTTATGTATGTGGGTGTATTGCCTGCATGTGTATAAGTGCACCCATGTTGTGCAGTGCCTCTGGAGGTCAGAAGAGGGCTTTGGAGTTCCCTGAAACTGGAATTATGGATGGTTGTTAGCGGCCATGTGGGTACTGGGAATTGAACACAGGTCCTCTGCAAGAGCAGCTAGTGCTCTTAACCTTAGTGCCATCTCTCAAGTCCTAGATAATTCTTTAAATGTATACACTTTACTATTGTCTTGTCTTAGGAAAAGGAAAAAATAGAAAGTTATTATTAGCTCCTATTGAACAATGTACATGTGAAAAGTACTCTAGACATATTATTCATATAAAATTTGATACACACTGATCTGGAGTAAATCCCAGTGTGCTAAAATGTGCTGAACCATGGTGAGTTTGACTCTTTCTACTAAAGTCTCCATCCCACTGGGCATTTGTTCCTTAGATAAAAATGATGCACAATATTTAGTGTACTTAAGAAAACACACTTTTCAGGAAATGAAGACATTTTGATATTCATCTCTTGGAAGAATCAAATTGAAAAAAGTATCTTTCATAAAAGTATTCATAATAAATTTGCCTTTAAGTATATGTGGGAAGTTGAACTGACAACAGGAAATGTGTGTAACAGAAGTCCATTCTGAAATTGTTAAACAGCATTTGTGAGAAGTATATTCCTAATATGTGATGCTAACCATGGTTGAAATGTGTTTTAAAGGATCCTTAGAAGATCATTTCACCCCATTGTTCTTTTATTTGTTATATGATTGATTTAAAACCGTCCTCAGGACTGGTCATGGTGGGGCTCACCTTTAATGCCAGCACTTGGGAAGCAGAGGCAGGCGATCTCTGTGAGATGGAGGCCAGCTTGGTCTACATAGCATTCCAGGCCAGGTAAGGCTACAGGAAGACCCTGTCTCAAAAAGACCAACAAAGAAACAAAAAGTACCAAAGCTTGTAGCATATTCGAGTTATTTCCTAGTCTAGAATCTTCAAAACTACATTACCTCAAATTACCAGAAGTCACTCTGTAACTTTTTTAAAAAGTGTAGATTTCATTATTCTTTCCTGAGTTTTGATACCATATTAGGTGTCTAACGTCTTTGGAGACATTTTGTGCTGGAAGGGGGATTTTGAACACCTTTTTTTTTTTTTTTATAGTACTGGGCCCCGGGCCTGCCGGGACCCGGCCTTGAACATCTTTCAAACAGCATATTTTTAATGGTTTGATTTTGTTCTTTAATAGGTGGCTACAGTCAGCGCCTTCCAAATGCAAGTGTTTTGGGAAAAATTTTCACTGCTTTACCGTTTGGTGAGCCCATTTATCAGATGTTGGAGTTAAAACTAGCCATGTACATTGATTTCCCTTCACGCATGAGGCCTGGCATCTTGGTTACCTGTGCAGATGACATTGAACTTTACAGCCTTGGACAGTCTGAGTTCATTGTGTTTGACCAGCCTGGCTTCACTGCCTTAGCCCATCCTTGTAGTTTGGCTGTAGGCACCACACATGGGGTGTTTGTCTTGGACTCTTCCACCTCCTTACCACAGACAGACCTGGAGTACAGGCAGAGCCACCGATTCCTCCACAAGCCCAGCATAGAAGAAATGCGTCAGTGTAATGCCGTGCAGAGACCCAGAAACCGTGGTCATCAGGACATGGCCAGCGGTGACACTGCCTGCCTCCAGTTTCCCTCTGAGTATGTGTACACCGACAGCGTATTTTACATGGACCATAAATCGGCAAGAAAGTTGCTTGATTTCTATGAAAAGGTCAGCCCGCTGAGCTGTGAAATAGATGCCTATGGCGACTTTCTGCAGGCCCTGGGACCTGGGGCGACTGTGGATTACACCAGAAACACATCGAATGTCACCAGCCAAGAATCGCAGCTGGTCCACATGAGGCAGAGCATATTTCATCTCCTCAAGGGAACATCACTGAACGTTGTTGTTCTGAATAACTCCAAATTTTACCACCTTGGAACGATTGAGGAATACCTGTTCCATTTTACTTCTGACAGCACTTTAAAGTCAGAACTTGGTTTACAGTCAGTAGCTTTCAGCGTCCTTCCAGCTGAACCAGAACGCTCCAGCAAAGCACCCTGTATCATCCACAGCATACTGGAGGCGGGGTGTTCTGTGGCACCTGGCTCAGTTGTAGAATATTCTAGATTGGGGCCTGAGGTGTGCATTGGGGAAAACTGTATTGTCAGTGGTTCCCCTATCACAGCCAAAGCCGCCCTGCCCGCGGGTTCTTTCATGTGTTCTGTAAGCTTGAAGATCGATGGACGTTTAGGGTACTCAACCATGGTGTTCGGTGTGCGAGATAACCTGAAAAGCAGTGTGAGAGCCTTGTCAGATATAAAGGCACTTCGGTTCTTCGGAGTTGATTTCCCGTCCTGCTTGGATATTTGGAATCTTAGCATTTCGGAGGAGCTGTTTTCAGGAAGTAAGACGTGCCTGAGTCTGTGGACTGCTCGAATTTTCCCCTTCTGTTCCTCTCTGAGTGACTCAGTCACAGCATCACTGAATGTGTTAAATGCTGTCAAGAGCCACTCACCTTTCAGTCTGAAGAACTTTAAGCTGCTCTCCATGGGGGAGATGCTGGACTACAAAGATGTAGAAGATATGACAGCATACAGGGAGCAGATTTTTCTAGAAATCAGTTCGAATAAAAAGCAGTCAGCTTCATAGATACCTTAAATTTGACGTACCATCAGTACCATCGTTTTGAACAAGGTTGCATGTGGTCATCCTCTAGAACGCAGACTTTTGCTTTGTGCAGAAAACCAATATAATAAAAACTATTTGAAAATTGTGTCACTGTGAGTGTTGCAGAACAAGAATGACAGGAAGTAAAGGAAACAAGTTTTGATAGAACATTTCAAGAAGAAGTGCAGAAGAGATCCTGTTTAGATGTTTTGCTCTATTTTATTTTTAGTAAGGACAGATTGAGGGGCATGGTCTCATCCACATAAAAAGTACTCTGGCTTTATAAAGTGATTTTTCCAACCATTCTTTAGAATATTTCCATCTTCTTTTGGACTTTGGTCCAATAAAGCTTTAAGTGTTATCAGCAAAGTTTTTGGTTAAAGTTCTTAGCGCAGAGATACAGTCACTAACAAAAACATCTTAAGGGAAAAGGGCTTCCATACAAGGTTTGAGAGATCTGTCCTTCATGGATGGTAGGCACGGCAGCAGGGTTACTCCGCCTTCACAGCAGTCACTGCAGTGACTGTTTGCATGGCATGGGCCAGCAGCACAGTGAGCTAGGGTGGACTGAACCTTCAGAGCTGCCCCTAGTGACCTTCTGGCGGCCAGGCTCCGTAAAGGCTCCGCAGCCTCTCAGCGCAGCGGTGCCAGCTGGGAACCAGATGTTCAGACATGCACCTCAGGGAGACCTCTCACTCTCCAACCAAAACAGTTCTCTCCTGAACTGTTCAAAAGTTCTCTCCTGAACTGCAATAAAAGTGCCCATTCTAGTCTTATGGGGATGGTGCAGATGTTCTAGAAATCTCAGAAGCAAGTCCATGGCTGACAAGTGCCTGGTTAACACTGATTGTTTTAGCTGAGAAGTGATACAAAGAGCTGTAAACCTCACAAGAGTTTGTGACTCATTTACTGATCTCATAAAACTCAGTCAAAATAGATTTATATTATTTTTCCTTACGTACTTGAACATGGGTTGCATATTTTATAAACTTTGTTCAATGTTCCATTACACCGGAAAACACACTGTGTCCACAGAGCTCAGGTACCTGTCTGGAAGGCGGTAGGAACAATTGAGGTCCACCATGGTCATTTAACCATGGTCATTACCTTCATCCAATCTTAATTACACCCTTAACAGGTCTGTGGACTTGCCACATGGACGTTTTACATTCCTTTATTTTTCTGTCCATCCACTGGTGGTTCTGATGCCGTGAACAAATCTCTGGCTGGAAGGTGCACAGTGCGGGGGAGGCAGAAGAGCGCAAACCGAGGGAATACGGATGATAGCTCCAAGAAAGCCCCGGCTGGGAGTCCAGGTTATGTGCACCTGGCTTAAAGTAAGCGCATAGAGGCAAAATGTGCCACACTTGTGTTTAAACTTCCTTAAGTAAGCTGTAATAACCAGTCTGTGCCAATTTTATTAATAAATTATAACTCCGGGGAATCTAGAAGAGATTTGTCTGAAACCTTCAATTATGTGTATATAAATATATTTTTGTGTTTTTATAAATGTTGTTCCCAAGTAGAAAGTAAAGGATTTCTGATACTGTTGGACAATTACTGATTTACTTACAGATTGTTATTAAATGGTCAAGACTAATTTTAAAGTGCTATCAACTCGTAAGAATCACTTTATGTTCTGAAAATAAAACATTAATAATGTCATTGCCTCCTTGGTTACTTGAAGATTTTGTGTTTATGATAGATCTCTTGTAAGTGCATGCATTTAAACACAGGTTTTCATTTCTCTGCATGTACACATAAAGGGGAAAATAGTGTAATACAGAGATATCATCAAGATAGCTCTGCATTTTATAATAAAGGTCTAAACCACCTGAAACTCCTTCTACTCAGATTTGCTGATATGCCAGGTCTACGCAGTACCATCCATGGTGCCTTCAGAGGGATTGGTAAGGCTGCA